AACCTCCACTGTTTTTTTACCAGCCGTTGGAACGCATGCGGATGGACAGAATATCAACACATCAACGTGGTAGAAGCGCGTGAGATCAGCAGACGGACGAATGCCGCGCAGCAATCCGATGAATATCTCACAATTGGACGTTATAGTGCAATCACCGGCTGATCACTGTGGTGCTCTTGCGCTAAACGAAGCCCTAATCGCATAGAACTCGGATAGCAACTGCTATATACAGCATTGCCACTATTCATAATATTTACGTACATGGTGTTTGGTTTATAATTTAATATACAACTATTGTATTTATCATCAGGAGACTGACAAGCCGATTAAATTAACCTGGTTAATTCCGACCATTGAACATGGCGGGTTGAAATGTAGACGAGATTGTTACTGCTCATAGCAGAGATATGCAAACGCCGGTACATGAATGGCAACAGCTGCTATGACTCAAAGTCACCTGTCCGAACATGTTTCACCTCCGGCCAGGGAATTCATAGGAATCAATACGGCACGCGAGCTGCTCATTGGTTTAACGAGCGGTGCGTAATGGCAGAAGTGATAGATATATAAGGAAGAAGAACGACCCACGCATGTAAGCCTCAGCACATATGTATTGCCCAATAAAGAGTCTAAATCTAATGCTACAATACACAACACTCTTCGACGCATCTATTGTCTACGATCACCGGGACGACGACGTTAGAGTAACAGCAAACTCAGGCTACACATTCACAGCTCATTAGTCGTTAATAAGCATCACCGGGACCAAACAATTCTGCCTAAAACAGCCGGTCCGTGTCCCTATCAACGCCCAGACTGCCCCGAAAATCGCAATCCCGATCCGACGGGCAGTCACCTGCCTTGCCAGTATTGTGTAATTGCCGTCAGGTGCCCTTTAATCTACTGCCGCTAGTTACGTTTTTAGTCGATATCAACATAACACTGTGCGCGTGCGTGCTGATAGTCAATGATGAGCAAAAACCGATAGTCGCAGGAGGAATAATAACAGCATCTGATAATTATTTGCTCCTGATAGCAGCGCATGTAAATTTCTTTTACTGATAGCTTCATTAGCAGAGGTGGGGTACAGGTCGGTACGTGTTACACGGTGTAAGCATTTACATGGAGCGTGCATATTGTTTGTACATTAAAAGCCAAGCAGCCGTGTTGACTGTACTAATCTTGTTATGAGTTATATTTTATTTTACAAAAAAGTGCCTTGTGGGCCCTCTCAAATTTTTGAGAGTTGCCTTGTGCCTTTCTATATTTAGAGAAAATTCAAGCCGATTCTCACATGCCCTAAAAAAATTGCGTTGCCCTTCTCGATCGCTTAATACTGAGCCTGTCCGTAGCAACATGTGACGTTGCCTAACCGTATTCGAGCTATTTGCTCGCAACCAATTTAGCGTTGCGCCAGATACCTAGATTTAACGGATTTCATTAGACGATTTCTTTAGTAATTTAAGCAGTGATATTGCGACAAACTAATACGCGTTTTGACTTATAAGTAAATTACTTATTAACTACAGAAGGTGCCAGTTACTGTAGCATTCCGTCAACTTGTCTATAATCAATGGCCTTATTATGCCTTTTAATTATATACAGGTTTACATTGGCTTCTAGTATCTAACTAATAAAAATAGTCCACTTTCTAGGTTAAGAAATAGTGACGAATTCAATATAACACCTTGGATTACGTTGCGTGTTCAGGTCACTGGCCCGTCGCCCTTCACTCCGCACGATACCGCATTGCGATATAAAACTTATTTGGTCTATGCAGTCATAAAAACACATGGGCTGCATTACATGCCGGCCATCGTGCAATCGATTTTCAATTTCTTAGACTGTCTCGAGTTTTTGTTTGTGTGGCGAATCATTCGTTGAGGGAGTTCATGCAGCTCTATGATGTTTTGGATACCCTGTCTACGTTGAGGAACGGGTCGTATTATGCGCTCCCGTTTACTGCCGTTGCGCTAACCGTAGTATTTCAGCGTAATATGAGGGGGAAAAGTGCCGGTCAGGAGGACCGGGAGTTTCGTAGAGATGGTGGCCCGAGCAAAAACTTGGTGGGCTCGGGCCTCCGGTTCGGGACTAATTTCTAACGATGCCGGCGGCATGGGAGCGATTTTTTCTCGTATATCTTCCAAAATGTTCGCTCTCGTAATTGTTGTTACCAGAGCGCTTTGAAAGCTGACGGGAGAGAAATCGCTCGCCGCTCCCGTGTATTTTTTCGCTGGTTATGAGGTACTATAGCCCTTGTTGCCACTGCCACAGTGTCATCAGTTTCATTGGCAACGAGGGCTATAGACCCTAGTACCAGAGCTAGTCTTAGATTAGGCCGACCAGGCTCTACGATTGTTTAATCATTAATGTCATAGGAGTAGTATAGTCACTATTACCCCGTACAGACTACAAATTTGATATGGTATTAAACTAGCGCGTCAGACGCAGTGTGTACACGCTATCCCGCTCCAAATACGTGCTGGCCCGCTCCAAGTTAGCCCCGCAAATGAAGCAGGGCTAACTTGGTCCGGACTAAGATAGCCCGCTCTAAGCTGTGTCTGTATGCAATCCGGTGCCTAGCGCGTGCTAAGTTTCACAATGCGCATGCGCATAACCTTATTTAGGTCCCGTAATTGTACGCTCACTGTACCTCGCTGTCTGCGGGAAGCAGGACTGACGCGGCGAGCAGCGAACTGAGGGGTGGGAGAACTGATGACTCATTTAAAGTAGGGTCAAATATACAGTCTGTACGCTCCTAGATACAATAATGTAACCCAAACCCAGGATAGGGTTACAACGCGAGTCTTGGTTCAAGTTTTCGTGAGAGGTTCGTGTTTAGAACAAACCCAGTTTGGAAGTTCTAGTCTCTGAAAACGCACTAGCAAACCGCCCTGAGTGATTCACTCAGGAGTTCCTCCACAGAAAACCATAGACTCGCTACATTATTGTATCTAGTACGCTCCTAGTTAGCGCGCATCTGACACGCGCTAAAATTCGTAGTCTGTACGGGGTACCTATAGGCCTATACTATAGTGGCCGTTTCAGGTGCAATCCTTGTTTGAGACACCGGTGCTAAACTAGGATTGGGCAGTGTTTCACGTAGTCGCGTAGTACTACTACTACTAGTACTAGTAGTAGTAATCCGAGAAGGGTAACTTGTGGTGGCTAATCATCTTAAGCAATCTTACTCTTACTCGTCCTAGAGTAGTGACTAGTAGTCTTAGCCGGCTTTTATATAATCTGATACTGATACTGATAGTGATAGTGTCATAAAACACATAGGGGGCCTATATTATAGTATATCACTAGCCTATAGGCTATAGCCTATA